GAGACTAACAAATTTATTAGAGCATAAGCTTTCGTGGGCTACAGTCCACTTCTTCGGATGCATATAGAATGGAACATATATTGAGGAGATATATATATACACACCTACAGAGAGCATGAACAGGTGGGAGTTGTCTTACCAACTCTGAGAGTTGTTCCCACCTGTTCATGCTCTCTGTAGGTGTGTATATATATATCTCCTCAATATATGTTCCATTCTATATGCATCCGAAGAAGTGGGCTGTAGCCCACGAAAGCTTATGCTCTAATAAATTTGTTAGTCTCTAAGGTGCCACAAGTACTCCTGTTCTTTTATTTGGAACTGTGTCCTTGTCAGCAGCTGCTGAGCCTCTTAGGTCAAGGATGGCTCTAACTCCCCCACCTCAAGCTTCTGCACCATAAAGAAGATGGAGTAAAACCCTAAGAATGTTTCTTCTGAAGGCAGGCTTTCTAATACTCCTCTATCCAGAAGATGAAAAATCTTGTTCTGGGTTGGCTCACGTTTTTCAGGGCGGTTGGAAATGAGTGACTTGATGAAGAAAGGATAAGGTGGAGCCCTCAAGTTTGAGGGAGTACTCTTGGCTCACTGTGTCCTCCACCCATGTGTCCATTGTGGATGCATACCTCCGCTCTGTGAAGTGGGAAATTCTGCCTCCTAGCTTCAGCTCTGGGAGTAGGCACACCTTATGACAATGATCAGGTGGTCTTGGAAGCTGCGGGGCCACCTCTGGGCTTTCCCCCCCAAACCTTGATTTCGGGGCTTACCTGTAGAGAATCTGCTTTCCCTTCACTGGTACTTCTGCACGGTAGAGAGGGGAAAGGAGCATCTCTGTCTGAACATCGGCTTGTATTCTTTCCTGAGGGCACTTAACAAGGACAGGAGGAACTGCTTGTATATCGCTGAATTTTCCACCACCACTTCTTCTAGCTTTGGTCCAAAGAGAATCGAGCCTGTACATTTTGCTGAGCACACAACCTGTTTAGAATGGGAATCCACCTTCCAAGGGTTGAACTGCATGTGGATGCCATGGCACTGGCTGAAAACTTCATTGTATTTAGTGAAGTTTTGGCTATAAACACTGTTGCTATGGAGATTTTTTTTTAAGAGTAGGGCTGAAATTGGTGTGATCTCTGTCCCTTAGTACCCTGAGATCCTCCAGCTAGGAGACATGCTCTAGCAAAGCATGTTGCTGTGAGACACACGCTCAAGGTAGGCAAAAAGGCCTCGAAGACTTTTTATGAGAGTGGCCTCCACTTTCCTGTCTGGTCCTTAGGGAAGAATTCCCCTTCTGAGGGGATAACCATATCACTTGCTAGGGATGCAACTGCAGCAGTGACCTTTGGGACCTCAACAAGAGTCTCCTTTGGCGCCTGTAGACCGGAGGAGATTTTTACTGATATATTTGCCTTTGTCAGGCTTGTCCCACCCCTCCATGATCACATTCTCAAAGGAAATTCCAGGGAATTGAAGTCTTAGGAGAGGATTCTGAGGGTATAAACTTGCATTGAGGCTTGCTCTCTGAAGCCTGTTGAGCTGGATCTGTACGGTAGATACAACCTTTCGGTACATGGCCTCAAACTGTGTGGGCGGGGACGAGGGGAGAATCTATGTTGTGTCTTCCCCTGAGCCTGCTCAGATACGAAGCCCAATAGTTCTCGTTCCTCTGCAGAGGAGGGGGAGAAGGAAGAGTCAGAGAGCACATTCCTCCTTGCCCCCCCCCATTCTTTTTCCTCTTTTTTCTCTTTGTTGGCCTTCCACAGTGCCTGAAGCCCTCTAGGGAATTCTCTGATTCCTCCCCTGCAGGGTCCCAATCCTCTAGAGCAAGGAGAAATGTTTGCTGCCCGCATCCTCCTGCTCAATTGGGAGGGAGGGGGGCTGTTTATGGGCTCCTACCCCCAGGACATTTAGGAGTCATTTTAAGATTTGGGGGTGAGGAGGGGAACCTGTAGCCCCACCAGACTCTTTTCTTTAGAGTCCAGGACATATCCCGTGGCCCAGCTGGATGAGGTCCTCCCTGTACTTCAAGCTTCTCTCTGCTCTGTTCCATAGCTCCAGGTCCATTTTCCCTACATTGGGGTGGTGGAGTCAGGTTGTCACATGCTTCTGACTGCTTGATATGTTAGAAAAGCAAAGGACTCACTTGTTCCAAAGAACAAAGTATTTACCTTATCTTATGTATCTATATGGTTCCCATCACTATAGTATCTGAGTGTACCACAATCTTTAATGTATTTCTCCTCACAGAACCCTTGAGAGATAGAGCAGTGCTATTAATCTAATTTTACAGATGGGGAACTGAGGCACAGAGAGATTAAGTGACTTGCCTAAGGTCACACAGGAAGTCTATAGAAGGGAATTGAGTACAGGCCTCCCAACAGCCAAGCTAGCACCCTAAACACTGGACCTTCCAAAAAACAAATTATGCCTTCCACAGTGCCTGAAGCCCTCTAGGGACTGTTCTGTAGACTTCTAAGACTTCTGTTCTAAGACTTTATTCCCCTGAGCCATCAAACTGGCACCTTTAGTTCACCAGAACTAAAACCATGAAGACTTCTTTTTAAGAGTATGTTGTGCTAGATACCATATCTGGCACAAAAAAAAAAGATTTTTGGCCCCCTTCAGTTCAAGACTGTTGTAGTCAGTAATTCATAATGTAATCACTTTGAAGCTGGCTCTCTAATGTCTGGCTATGCTCATCTCATTTAACATAATGATTACTGCATAAATCCATGTGTTTATGTACTTTATCTGTTCCCTCAGACAGGTTACTGTGTCCTGGGCATCGTTATGTATCAGTGCATCATGGAATATGGCTGCTAAAGTGTACAATAAAATTTTAATCTAGAAATAAAATAGCTGAATTACAAGTGTGTACTGTCTGAGATCATCCTGTAGTAATAACACCAAGAGAGCACAACAGGTTGATTTAGAACAAAACCCATCATAGTGATTTACAGTGTGATTGAACAGGTTTTGGAAGGAGGCCAAAAGCTTTGCAAGCAATATATTACGTCTAATCTAAACTCATCCAGTGCATGACACCAAAAATACAGTGTAATCACTGTAAACAGATCCCTGCACTTTGCCAGTCATATTTTTTAAACTGTGCATAATAGATGTTGGATTATTTCACACTGACAGCTGGGACGTCCCCCTGCAATATTAACTTTTGTTCAGTAATGTGATTATGATGGTACTAAATGGGTTTGTTAAGATAATGAATAGACTACAGATTTAGTTGTCCTACTGATATTACAGTGATATCACTTAGGGCATTGTTCACCACAAAATTAATAGCCTAACACTTACCTGGGAGACTATATAGACTTCTTCCAAAAACAGATAGTCATCTCTGACATCAATTTGCTTCACAAGCTGCAAATCAAAAAGGATGATGATGCTGGCATTAGAAAGGTGGGATCAGTTAAGGAAAATATGTTTTTTCTAGCCAAACACACAAGCCTGATGTCAAATCTGTCTTCACAGATTAAAAGGAGTTGGTTCCTCCTGGATAGAAATAATCTTCTGGAAGAGACAACAGTTCATTGAGCACTCTTAGTGGATCTGTGCAGGGTGTACCCAGGGAAAAGTAGTATGGAAACACAGTATGGTGACTCAAAAGGTGTTGGGAAAAGGCTTACAAGAGCAAATTAAGTTTCCAACTTCATACAGGAAAGTGGTAGGCCTGTCTAATCCTTTTGATAGGGAAATATATTTAGAAATGTGGGGATAACGAGGCCATAGTGATTCTCATAGCTCCTGATACCAACATATGAACTCATGCCTTTGTGAAAACCAGGTAACAGAAAATATAAACATTCTCTGACTGAAGAAGCTTCATTAGGGCTTATACCCAGGTTGCAAATGTAGACCAAATATAATGGCATGCCTTTGTTGTATGTTATAGTCTGCATTTCTGGAGACTACATATAATATCTATTGTCTAGGCCAAGAATCCTGATCACCTCTGATCGAAGACAGGAGCTCAGTGTGTCTCACTCTATGACAATGTAAGGTACAGCCGTCTGGCTGATGAAGTTCTGTTTTCCTGGGAAGGGATCAACTCCTTCAATGTATACTCCATGGCTTTAAATTCCAGATAACAGATGCCCCAAAGAGCATCCTTCTTGTGTCACCAGTTCTCACATGAGGGAGATTTGGGTGGTTGACTCTGCCATTCAAGCCCACATCCAGACACATATACAACCCATATACAACTATATAATCTGCAAAATCTAAATCTTGCATCTTTTCTCTTGCTCAAACAAAACATCACTATCCTCAGCAGCCACGGTCACTTTTCTCATTACAAGGTAGGAGAAGATTGCGTTATGCCAGTAACAATCTTAAACCATTGTGGGTCTCTGCTCTCTGTCCTGATGCAGCACACAGACTTGGCATACAAAGCTTTTACCAAATTAACAATCCTTGCTGGAATTCCTTAGTGTCTCAGGATCTTCCAGAGGGCTTCTGTGTGGACACTATCAAATGATTTTGTGAAATCAAGGAAATTATCTTCTGCTGGAATTTTAAATCTCGCTCAATGAGTCTTCTCAAATGCGAAAATCTGGTCTGAACACAACCTTCTGGCTCGAAATCCAGCCTATTCCTCTCATAGTACTTTGTCAACAGAAATTTTCATCCTATTAAAAATAATACAAAACACTGTTTCTAGGCGAAGCATCATTTGATATCCATGTCAGTTTATGGCTTTCCTTGTGTGGAAAAGTGTAATCCCAATGCAAAGATATCTTAGGATGCAGAGTTCAACAAAACATTCACCATTGTCATCTGTCTTGGGAATGCCACATCTGCCCATAATGTATTCATATCAATATTACCACCACCAACCTGTGCATTTTGATCTTCCATGAGACAATGACATATTAACGGATCTGGTAAAGGAGGCTCTGCAATCAATAGAAACGGTCTTTGAACCATTCTTTTCTGTTGTTTATTGGCACATACTACTGAACAACTGTGACTTTTGTGAGGTTCGTCACAAAGTGAGTAGTCGTTATTCTTGAGTTTACAGGTTTCCATTCTTTCAGTGCTTTAGTAGCTTTCTTGCTCAATAATAAGCCTACATATTCCCGGTGTGCATCATCCTCTCTTCCAGCATATAAAACAATCACACCTTCTGACAATAATTTGTCTTATCCAGTATCAGAGGGGTAGCCATGTTAGTCTGGATCTGTAAATAGCAACAGAGAGTTCTGTGGCACCTTTAAGACTAACAGATGTATTGGAGCATAAGCTTTCGTGGGTGAATACCCACTTCGTCAGATGCATGTCTTATCCAGTTTACCTCCTCTTACTCAAAGTACACTTAGGCCAAATTTTCATTTCTCTGATAACTTGTATCAGTCTACCTGTGCTGCAAAGCGATCTAACATTCCAACACCCAATTCTTGTCTTAACCTTAATGCCATTTCAGATTAAGTTCCCTGCAACTTTCATTTTCCATCATCATCATCGTTTCAGCTGGATTGCTGGTTGGCCGGTATTATCTTGTCTTTCGTCTAACAGACTGTGGTTCTCCACTATCAATGCCTGCATTGTCAAATCTGTGACAGACTGGTCTTCTCTCTGCATTGTTTCCATACCAGAAAGTATTTTTGCAAAGGTTGTTAGCCTGAGTCAAAACTCCTTACCAGGAGGACTGGTGGACTGCCTTTAAACTGGCTCCTACTCTTTGACCTGTCTGATTTGGATGGCCCTTCCAGGAATTCTGCTCCCTCCAGCACAGCTCTCAGGGTCATCGGAGCATGCAAGCCTCCCACCAACTCAAGGTGTAGTCCGGGGGGAAAAGGATTGATTGGAACCTGGCCTGCATCTGCCTTGAGGCGAGTGGCACATAATAGTCATTTTTGGCAACTCCTTAGATGAGTAGGGACCACCCTGAATTGGCAACATTTGACAGGACCATGGAGAACTTGCTCTGGAATCAGAGGAATGAGGTTGAGGAAGGGACAAAGTTATAGCCAGAAAGGAAGGGCCCTGCCAAGCATAAAGGCAGGATGGAGATCAAGGATGTGAGAACTAACTGCCTTTGCCCAAAAAACTCACTTCACAAATACCTTTGGGTGCCAGAAAAACCTTTGGAAGAAGAACATAATGAAAATATCAGAGGATGGTGCTGGGCTGGGTACTGGGGCTGCGGAGAATGTACTGGCAGAACAACGATTATATAATGGCCTGTAAAGGCCAAGGGGGAATGGGTTTGCTAGAAGAAGGGCATAGCTGATGTCTTCTTTCTATGCTTTCATTGGACATCCTGGCAGTCTGGCATACCTCCATGCCAACAGCAGGACTTCCCAGCAGTGCTGGAACTGGTGGAATAGAGGTAGTGTGAGAATATCAATGACCAAAACACAGGTCTACTTTTCTCCTTTAAACTAGATAGCATAAAAACAGAATTTTATACCGAGAACAAGTTACCAAACAATTGCAAGAATCTCACACATCTAAGAGGAAAAGATAAAATCAAATTGTCACTGAGTGTTGGAACTGGCATAACAACAGAATCCAGACACACAAAGATTTTCATGCAGAGTTTTCAGACTGACAAGACCCATTGTGCGTGATGGTACCTTTTAGTTGTAAAAAAAAAACATATCTGAGACACACCAGTAAAAGTGGAGTCAAGAAATGAGGTGCAATTCTTTTCTTTAAAAGTCTGAAGTTTTCTATATCCTCATTCCCTCTATTCATTCTTTTAAAATGTCAATAACAAATTAATAAGTAGTGCTACACATTAGCAACTCAATCTGGTCCGGTTTAAGTTATGCAAGTGTTAATGTAAATGGCATAACACATTTCTAATTGCTTCACTGTAATTAGATGTTGCTCAATGATTCTGTGCATTTTCTGGTCTTGCACGTTTCTTTTTTTGTGACTCCTGTCCACGTAAAGATTTATCATAAACAAGAACTTGCAACGCAAACTATC